ACTATATTTCCTCTGTTGCAGCGTTGGAGAAGAAAGTGCTTCCTCCTTTTGAGCTATTTGGGAACCGTTGGTTTTAGCATTCGCTATTTTTTCTAATTTTTGCGGATTTTCCTGTTCTCCGAGGTGGTGGCATAAGGCGAATGCTAGGCGAAAACCCCTCTGATAACTAGAATGGCTTTTCAGAACAACACTGTGTCAGGCGAATTCGTCTTAGGAACGCGTAAAGCACACGAAATTCTGAAGAAGTTGCCAAAACCGTATACTGTCAAGCAACTCGAGATAGCCGTGAAGCAGGCTTTCGTCGATATAACACCGTACGATTATGACTTGGCTTTGAGGTGAGCAGCTACTTCTGTTTTCAACATGTTTCTTTGTGTCGAGGTTATTTCCCACTGAAATTGGACTTTCCAGGCAGTTGATACACTCGGTTATCTGTAACGAGGGGGTCCTGGCCTTTACGGATGGCCACGGGCTCCCTCACGATAGCTGCCACATAGTCAAAGAAGAAACCTCTGAGATGGAAGAGGTGACACCCGTCACTCTCTCCAACCAAGCTCAACAGGATTTGAACGTGGACGCTTGCGATGCCGCTTTTGATCCTGACGTACCTGGACCTTCGCATTAAAAAGGTACGCGTGATTTTCAGTCGTCGTTTCCTACTTACATACTCTTGGGAAGTGCGATAATTCACCAGAGACATCGTTCGGGATTATCGGGTGGGCGGGGGCTAGAGAACAGTGCTGCGGTCCTCTTTTAGAGCGCGTTTACACTTTGCATCGGCGTCAGAGCGTTTCGAAAGGAATGCCAACGTTTCGAAGAATAGTTTGAGTATTCCGGAGAGCCGACCCTGTTAAAGCTCTGGATCGATACTTATGCTCTCTACGTCGATTACAGAGTTAGCGTACGCTTGAAACACTGCTATAAGCTAGTAACCCTGACGCAAGGTAAGAGCGCACTTTTATTCGTGAACGCAGACGATCAAAGCTTGCCCTGTTTCGTCTCGAGGAGCGCTGTGAAAAGAGTTCTTCCCGTACTATTGTGCCATCAGTTACACTAAACTCATGATTTCTCCAAAATGCTTTGAGGCTTTGACGGCCCTTAAATAGGCTATTTTCAGATGTGTTTCGTTAGTCAGATTTGGGCCTGCATCTGTCAGATAGGTAACAATTACTGTGGCAGTCCTCTGCAGGTAAACCTTGAGAAGAGCGTTGTCCGTGTACTACGATGCATCTCCTTTACTGATAAGACTCCAGCAAGCACATTGATAGAAGAAGAAAGAAATATATGTGCAGTATATAAAACATTGCCTTAGGCAGACCTGCCGTGGGGCATTCTAGCGAAATCGACCATCCTCCCCCCCAAAAGTTCCTCATCCGTTACAATTCTCCGTCTCCCATTCCCGATCCTACTTGCTATCTCCCTTAATTCTCCAGTCTTCGTCCCTCTTTCACGGTTTTCTGTGAGCTTCACCAGTTTGCCCTGCCCAAACACCACCGTTAAGTCTTTTCGTCCCCTTCCCTTTCTCCAAATACGACCCCCACATCGATGGCATCCCCAACGTAAGACGTGCCCTAATTCACCATTTCTATATTTGTTCTTACTAAAACGATCTGTCACTAATGCGCATTAAGTGCATTTTAGGAGATATCGGCTTCACGTTGTTTGTTGCTTTTTTCTTGGATGAGTAGTTATTTCATGTTCCATATTTCATCTCGAGCCTGCTCTTTGCTCATTCCATATTTCATCTCATAAGCCTGCTCTTTGCTCATTCTCTGCATGCTTGTTTTTCCCTTAACCATGGTTTGTCGAAAAATACGCAGTCAGTTCATATTTCTTTTTGTTAACGTGATTTGTCAACGCTATATTTGTCTGTCTTCGAGTGAGCATGATTAACATGATGTACTATGAAAGCGACTGCCACTTGGTCCGTTTAGCCTTTGTCATTGAAGTTGGTTCTTTTAGCCCGTTTCATTGGGTTTTGTATGTTCATATGCTTAATAGTTGATTATCTTGAAGGGCTCAATTTCCATGTTGAAGCATTTTTCTTGTTTGTCAGTTTGGATCCTTATCCTGTGTATCACACGTTGAAGCTTCCGACTCTTGATTACCTTTTCATTTCGAAAACCGCATTCAGACCTCGAAATCGGATCGCTCGAGTGATTAAATCGCGCGATCAGAAGACCACGTTCAGACTTCGTGATCGATTGGATCGCGCGGCCACGACTGGGGGCGCTCCACCGCCAAACGGTGCACCAACGGCAGAATTCAAGTTGGGCCGCGTTCACGCGGAGCCGTTGCTGCAGTGCACCGTTTGGCAATGGAGCGTCCTCGGTCGTAGTCGCGCAAACTAATCGGCTCGAGCAATTCGGTCGCGAAGTATGAACGCTGTCAAACTATTGGATCGCGAAGTCCGAGTGCGGTCGAGCACAAGCCATAGACAATTGTTATGTGTTGTTGAAGATTAAAAAGATCTTGTAGACGATTGTGAGATGATGAGATGATGCGATGATAAGTCAGATTTTGAAGCGAGGTAGGGTTGAGAGTGTGGGTCGTAACTATACACGGATGATGTATTCCGTACAAATTCTTGTGAAGTTCGTGTGTTTGTGTATTTTACCATTGATGTTACCATTTTATCACTACCTGCTATGTCATTCTATATATACAATTGATAGTGTACGATAATTCAGTATTGCGATGTTTCGCGTTTGTTTCGTTGTAGTGTTAATGAAGTTGTATTACGTCCATGGTTTGGTCGCTATGCAAACAGTTTTCCAGCGGGAGCTCCGTACCTGAACGAATTCACTGCTTGGATCGTTGCTCACGGGACATATATAAAAAAGGTTGGCAGCGTTTAGACTTTGCTGTGACGCTCATCGACGCGCTGTAACCCGTTGTGACGTGCGTCGACGGGCTCCATTGCAACCACGCTCCAGTGCTATAAACGGAAATGCAGCCACAGACGAATATCGTCTGCTACCGGTGGCTAGGGGGCGGGGTGGAGGGAGGTGTTTCCTGATATCACACAGTCCGGTCTCCTGTTCTTCCATGCTCCCCAGAAAACTAGCTGGCGGCACCGATCGATACTTGTCTACAGCACTGGAGCACGTTTGCAAGGATAGCGCTTTGACGCACGTTATCACGAAATGTGAGCGCAACCTTTAACTTTTCGCCGTTGATCAATCTTTCGTTGAGAGGCGACATGCATTCTATTAGTGGCATAGTTCCATAGAAGTGGAGTACTGAACACAAAATTGCCTACACAATACCTTGTGGGGCATGTGGGAGTGCAAGCTTATTCTCCCACACGATTCTGGTACCGAGTCACGGCTTGAGGGAATGGGAGATAAATGTGCTTTGCGGCGAAGTATCCCAACGTTGGTTGATTCGACATACTGCACTATTGCAGTTCTAGGTCCTGGTGTGATGTCAAACAGGTGGTTTTGCTTGCTAAGCCGAAGGCCCGGTTTGTTAGTCGCCTCCGCCTGACGTACGGCTTGTCATTCCCTACAAGTGTGCGGAAACAAAAAACGTGAATATGACCGATTTATCCTACTATCATTATTAATCCGCTATGTGTGGTTCTGTGTGATGTGTTCTGTGTGTGTGTGTGTGTGTGTGTGTGTGTGTGTGTGTGTGTGTGTGTGTGTCACGAAATTCATAGCGAGCGTCGCAGAAAAGATAGGATGACAGTTCCAAGAAGTGATATACATGGCAGGACGGGAACACTTTAGGTGCGTGACAGGAGGTGATAACACTTGATAAGATTCGATTGTACGACCGCTAAGCCAGCTCTATTCCAAATGCATGTGGTTTGTTTACAGAGATGTTATGAACAGCAGCAACTGACTTTATCACTCTTACCACAATTATCTTCCATCAGCAACTTCAGTGAGGGCCATTTAAAGGGTTCCACTGCTGAATGCGGTAGTGCATTCCAAAGCAAGACGCTTTAGGAAGACAGATTGCATAAATTATAGGCTGCTTCAGTGGCTGTCCAAACAGGCTGCACTATTCCGTGTAGGTTATGAACGTACCAGTCGGATCGCTGGCTAAGGCCGGCTTTCCTCCTTCTGTGATGCGGGGGGGGGCTGCTGCTGCTTCTGCGCCTTGACGGAACAAGCGCTGCTTTTCAGTTCTTGGCTGATGCAGAAGATTCCTTGACAGTGTGGTTGGTCAACGATCCTTAACTTAGCACGCGGCAAATCCGCATGGCCCGGCGAAGCCGGGCCATGTCACAGAAGGAGGAGCGCCCGGCGACAGCCGGGCGATCCGACTGGTTTTCCTTGAAATGGCAAAGAAGCTAATTTGGGCACGCTAATAATTGCGTAGCTGATGGCGCAACAAAAGCCATGATTGCATAACCCCGAAGTGATAAAGATTTACTAGCGCTCTGTGGGAGACCACCGATGCGCACTCCGTATACAACCGAACTCAGCTCAGGGCGCAGATGGTCAGAGCCGCCGCGGGTTACTCTTCCAGAACAGACCATGCGACTCAAAGCGTCAGCGCTCTAAGCGTAAACCTTGGATAGGGAAGGACACAGAAACGCTTTGGGGTGTCCCTCTCTCCCTCATCTCACGTACGTTGAGCTCGTTCATTCTTTGCGTCAGCGTACGGCAACGTTTCGATCGTACGCCAGCGCCTGTGACTAGGAGAGTATAGATGTTGATCTAGCGAACGCCAGTGTATTCTAGCGTGCGAACGTCGGCGTACGCTAGGTCGTTATCTATACTTTCCCATCCGCTTTCGCTGGCGTACTCTCGAAATGCTGAAACGCCGTACGCTGAAGCAAAGTATGAATGTAGCCTCAGCATCAATTTAGTACCACTATGAAAGTCAGGTTGTGATATAACAACAGTCGTGGGACGTTTATGCTTTGTGCGTGTCACGAGTCCGCGATTTGATGGATGTATGTAACTGAAGAGTCGGATAGCCGAGTCGCTTTCCTGGCCAGAAACCGAAAATTCTTTTTCTTGTTCTGTATTTGTCTTTTCACTATGCTTGTCTTGCAGGGGATATCAACTGAAAGCCGTATACGCAACTACGCAGCAATGGCAAATAATGTGATTTACCTATTTTTAAAGGAGTTACTATTTATAGGGTGTTTCATTACATTCAGGAAAGCCGCAGCTCAGCGACACCTAGCCGATCCCGATGGGAGAAAATCTACTCGAAGCTGAGACTCTTGTGAGTTCTTCTACCGTTACCATTTCACCTATTATAGCACATATTGTTGTCACAAGAAATAACGCTTCGGCAGATAGCAATAACAAGTGATGAACTGTTCAGTGGGGCCAGACCTTGGATGGATGTGGTTTAACATGCAAAATGTCACACTTTGATTTGGTTTCACAAAAAAGGCGACGAGGACCTGTTTCGCCCATTGTGAACCACCCTGTTATTTGATCAATGAGTCCGCTTTCATGCTTCGCGAATGCGAGTGAACCTGCGGTTAGAGAGAATTTGGGAAAGTAAGGTATTCTAGACACAGTACACATGGGTATCGGTGTGGTCATCTTTGTAAAAGTCATAGTTGCCTTTGCGCCTAATCTCCGAAAATGGTTTTAGTTGCTGATTTTCTAGGTTTTTTCAGCTTTGAAGTGTTTGCGACGTGCTGTGTTTGGCGCATCTTCGGTCCGTTTTCCACCAGTTGTTGGTTGTACGCTTCGCTATTTTTCTCTTCGTTTCTCCGCATTCGCAGTGTATGGACATGTGTTGGAGGTTCAGCGCGGCATATCTTATTTTCCTTAGTGTTGCACAGCACAGGCGGCGGCAGCTGCAGCTGTAGAGAGCATGAGCAAGCTAGATCAGCAACTAGGCTGAAATTCGGTAATCCTCTCAACAACGGTGACTGATGTTCAAGATCGCGTAGTAAAAGGGTAAGGAAGATGCCCCATCAGTAGAAAAGTCAAGAGCAACAAAAAAAAGTCAACCGTATGCAAATGAGGTGCTGGTGTTCAGCTTGTTAAGCCGAAATCATAAACTGTGAGATATGAGCAGGTTTCGCTAGTTTCAAAGGATATACAATCATTTATTTGACTGTTGATTTCTACTCTATTATTTCTTGAGGGTTTTCTATGTTTCGTTGTGGCGATCACGTTGGCTGTGGTTTCTGACGCCTACAAACATAGTCGGTTTGGGATTCATCCTTTTCATAGCAGCTGTCTTCAAGCAGGGTTCGTTCGGTTTTTATATTCTGCAGGTCGTTTTCTTACATAACGGGCGTGGAGAAGTCCCAATTCGAGAGAGTCAGTGCTGTGAGTGCACAGAAAGCAAAGAATATGTATCGAGTGGAGAATCCAGTCGACTCGAATCCTTTGTTTTCTGTGCAATTCGAGATAATCGGCAAAAGCATCGACATAAGGTTGATCCGACTCCTCCGAACAGCGATTTCTTCCTATGCATGCACTCTTGGATCGCTCAGTCTCCCAGTCCAGAGAGTGTAGACGTGTCCTGGAGAAGTGTAAATATCTTTAGCTATACCTCATGACGTGTTACCAAGAACTGGACTAGTGCGCTACGAAACTGCATTGGACACAGCTAATATAATGGAAATGCGTTTGGAAATATTTGAAAGGCAACATATGATGCAGCAGGTGAGATATGCTTCCATTGGACATATTCTACAAAGCATTCAGCTATCTTTCATTCATGAGTGAACTCGAACAGATGGATGACAGCCGCCTATTGTTTTAGGCTGAGTTCATACATTTTGTCCGTTTCCTAAGCATAACGAGTGTTTGGGCGCGAAAAATGGATAGTTATCGACCTTGCGTTGAGGAAGAAATGCCAGCATTGTGAACGTTTCGAGTGTTTCGAACGATGCTAGATTGGTACTTATACTTTCCATACTTTCCCCTCGCAAAACGCTCGGAACGTTCATAAGACATAGACCTCCGAAATGATAACGAAAATCATGAGTGGAGCCCCCGATTTTTCGTTTTCGTTGTCATCTATCCACATACAACTGGGTGGTTTACACAAAAGCAGTGAATTGTTCATTCTTTTACTCCTACCTCTTGCCGAGGACCTTTTCATAACATATATGCCACAGTAGAAGATTATCCAGCATCGCGATTCTGTTCTCTCGTTATACTTCTTGATTACTGCTTGATACAAAAGATCTCACTGTTTTCATTTCGTTCGCTGTTTATTTCGTTTTTTTAGCTGACTCACGGTGTGTGACCGAAGAGCGCGTTGATACTTCGCGATCCGATCTCTTGCATCGCTCGCTGGAGTGATCGGATGGCGAGGTATTAACGCGCTCCAAGGTGTTCAGCTTTAGCTTAGCTTTTTCATTTTTTCAAGCAAGTGAGCTCTGTCTATGTTATAAACGTTTACGTTTACAGATCTGAAATGTAAACTGTTAAAGTGTTCAGTGTGATTAGGCAGCGTTCGTCGAATCGTGCGACCGAAGCGCTGCCGTCGCGAAGTCTGAACGCTGCCTTATACTCTAAAATTCTAATTCTAAATGGAATACCCGTCAATGCTAACTCTTTATTTTCAGCGGGTCTACCTTGAAAAACTCCAGAAAATTGAGCAAGCTACACGCACTACAATAGCAGAAGTCCGTTCGGAGATTCTCAATTCGATTTCCGAGGTTAGCTGATAGTTGAGAGGCATGAACCTTCGATTGAGTATGTACATTTAGTTGCGCTCTGAAATAGAGAAGTACAAAGCTGAAAAAGAAGAACTCACTCGGACAGGCACAGAGAAATTAGCGAGTCAGATAGCTGATCAGCTGGTGTCATTAGAAGGACAGTTAAGCCATCGCTTAGCTGAGGTCGAATCCCAAATAAATGTTGCCAGTGAACGGGTGCGTGCAGCCACCAACACGTGCTCTGTAGCATCGTCTTCAGAAACAGTGCGATCTATTGTAGAGAAGAAACGAGGGGCTGTTAACTTGGCTAGCAGGTCTCACGGTGAGTTTAGGTCCTTGCTCGTCTCTCATTGCTTGTGTTTGTATTGTTTTTGTCTCATCCCCACATAAAGAATTCATTCTCAATAGGACTAGAAGCAAGTTAAACTAATCAAGCAATAGAAAATATAGGGCTCTGCGTCGGCTTACATGGAGGCAAAAAATCGGTATCCAGCGAGCGTACAAGCCATTTTGTGAAGACCTGTGAATTTTTGCAAGGAAAGTGGTTCTCTTTTTTTTCATTTCGCCAGCTTGATAGAAGTTCACAGGTCTCGCCAAAATGAGACCTGTGCAGAAGGAACTAACAGGAGTGCAAAATGCTCCCAACCATACAGCGCAGAAACATTTACAAAAACTATTTACTTGTACCTTTCTCATGTTTGTAGCTCCTATTATGTTGGATCTTGTAACATCATAATAAAAATCGTGTGTTCAGAAGACGAATTGATCTCATGTTAATTTCTGTGCCTCATAGCCGCATCCTTTTAAAAATTAGCGATTTTCCAACATTCCACACATAATTGTATTTGATAATTTGTTGACTTTTTATAGCATTCAGGTGCATATGTTGTGTCACATCTGACATCGAGAGCTGTCACATCAGGTTCCGTGCTTTACAATCTTGTTGGTTCTGTTTTTGGGCTGGAGACGTACAACTATGCGATCACGGTAAGTACGAGTAGCGGGACGTTAAGTCATGTTGCAGTCTATGCATGGGGGGGGGCATGGCACTTTGCTCATGGGGCACGCCATCCAAGCTTTACGTAAAATAGGGTGACGGCATATAGGAAAAACCACAGATCAAATGTTTTTTGAGATGATCCATTTTTAGCAGGAGCATGCTCTCCTTCACTGTTGCCACCGTCTCAAGTACGAGTAGTTGAGTTGAAATAGATCTACAGCCTTTCCTTTGATTGGAGCAGCTTTGTAATTTCCAAGGTTAATTAATTGGCTTCCAGGTGGCTGTCGCAGGAAGGCAGCAGCCGTACAGCTGTTTGGACAACGTCGCTGTAGTTCATGATTTGAATTTCATGTCTTGTCGGCTGGTCGGCTTGCATCGGCATAGCGACAGTCTCCTCGAAAGCCGTATAAGAGCAATCTATCCCTGAAAACTACACTGCTGCTTCATTAGAACGAAAATTTTGTGGACCTTCCTCAGCTTGAAAGCGATGATGAATAACTTTACATTTTCGTTTCGGTGGAAGCTTGAAGAAGGGCGTACTCCTGCTTATAGGAAACATCTTAAAACATTCACCTATGGATTTTAATGAAGATACAATGGTGGAGACGAGAGGTTCGATGCGCATCTTCACTTGTTCACCCATCGCCCGAACAAGCTAGGTTTTCAGGATACGTTCCATGAGCAAAATGTCTCATTGTTATAGCTCGATAATAGTGCATCTCGTAGAATTTCGCAGGAACGAACTCACATCATGCCATCCGAGGCGTTTTGTTTCGAAGGATCCGAGGGTAAACTGACGATTCACTTATGGTCTAATGCAAGTGTGGATGCGATCGAATATGAACATGACTACTGGCACGATATCGTTCCAATCAGCGCACCCGACCGATACGATGTGTTGGTGAGCTTATTTCATGTTTTGTGAAATCCTTAATCGCACATTGAAGGCAGTTGCGCATTGCGAGGGGAGCGGTTACTGTAAGAGTCCCGGGGGGGGGGGGGGG